CCCCTTATGTAAGGGGTGATGTACTCTTGGCATTATTCTTTATTCATATATCCTCCATCCGCTATTACCAATTGGGTTACAGGGGGATGAGCGCGGTGGAATTTTTAAAAAGTCAAAATCTCTCCTAAAAAATGAAAAGGACCCCCAATTTATGTGAGCCCCATCGTTTTCAATACATTTCAAATCCCCTAGAGCTCTGAACGAAATGGAATGGCGTCAAAACCAATTCGACGATGTTGGCAACTTCGACGCCGGAGTCGACACAGTTGTGAACCCGACAATATTACCCCATCATTTGCGGTGGACAACAACCCCATTCATTGCGGAGAAGAAGACAAAATGGAAGCAGGCAACTCCGACGCCATCAACTTCGACGCGGACAACAACATGGGTAACATTTATTCTTCTTAATCTTCATTTAAATTGTCCAATAATGTCTTCGTTGTGGCTCTAGTCTGAAATGTTGGGGAATGTTATTCTGCTTTTCATCTTGTTCAGATTAATAAATTGGGCAAAAATTTTTTGATTGGAAAATGGAATAAACTATGGGTCTAACTGAAAATAGATTATTACTCTCCTTTATAGACATGGGAATTTACAAAATGATGAATTTTCACATGATGCGTTCTCACTACCCGTATGTCTATAATGATTCCAAGTTCATGTTCGTCAGCTGGAGGACTATTTTTTTTTTTCGAATGTGACTGCCACAGTTTGCTATATTATGGGCCGTTTTATGTGTTTTCATAGTGTTCATTGATAATTTTTTTTGGTCTAAATGCATAGCATCAATGTTCTGACTTATATTCTGTTTGAACATTGTCGTGCAAAGCTGAGAATTGTTATGAATCAATCAAAATACCTCTTGTTATAAGAAATATTAATATACCCGGATCGCTTTTAGGAATGTTGGAAATACAAGAATTATGTATTGTTTGAATACCACTTGATGAAATCAACCACTGGAATGAATCGTTGAAGTTATATGGCAAATAATGAAATATTAGATCAAACAAAAGAATAATATAGACAAAAAATATGACAGATTAAGAGATTTTATTTACTCAAAAATAATGAAGAAAAAAGAAGAAATCAACCACTGGAATGAATTGTTGAAGTTATATGACAAATAATGAAATATTAGATCAAACAAAATAATAATAAAGACAAAAAATATGCCAGAAGAATTAAGAGATTTTATTGACTCAAAAATAATGAAGAAAAAAGAAAATTACAATGGATCCTAAAATTCTAGTAATCTATTTTCTCACATTATAAAATTGTATAGAAAAGCCTAATATTTATAGGAAACATGTAGGGGTGTCTAAACTCTCCTATTAGAGTTGTTGATGAAATAGGATACCAAAAAATCGAGTCCAAAACAAATTACAAATCACAATGAACTTCCAAAATAGAACTTCAACTTGATATAGGACTCCAGTAGCATTCCAAACTGAATTTTTTTTACATGCACTTCAATTAGAATTTTTCAATTACTTCAATAAGAAATTTGGGTCACGCCCAAATTCTAACAATTTCCACCTTGACACGAAT